TTCGACTTAGATGAAAATAATCGGTTTAAGCTGAAATTGTTATTAATTATTCCATTATTTCAAAATCTTAAGCTGATATATACCTGTTGATAAGCCAACGACTGTTATTTTAGCTACTTTCAACAATTATAAAACTAAGTCAATCCACCTTAAAATCGCTCTTCTGTTTCTATGCAAGAGAGTATGCCACAAACATAGAAATCTTAGTCTAGCACAAATTTATTTATTTCTCAGAGGTTGATATAACAATAAAACTTGTGCACTGTGGTAGATTATAGTTCCACCATGGGTAAAATTTATTTTGATAAAGTCACACTGCATACTGCATAACACTGTGAGACTTTATCAAAATGAATCTTACCCATAATGGAATTCTCAGAGGTTGGTTTGTCAGATTTTCAAGACACTATTAAATTCCCTTAATTTCTCTGATATATATATATATATATATATATATTCATGTTAAAGTATGTTTATTTCTAATCAGATAAATACTATGTTAATATAAATGTAGATAGAATGGAGAAGACTCATAGTTGTGTTCTGTTAGTTAGATGGATTAGTTAACATAAATGTTTATTTAACCTTACATAGAACAACTCTTGTGTTTACTGTGACAGTATTGATTTTTGTGAAAAGTGCTAAAATATGTTAGACACCTTTCTATGTTTTCATATAATAAATATTAGCTACTATGCTGATGAAAAGTATCGACCGAAAAAAAATGTATTGGTGTTTTTCTGTTTTCACTTTGCTCTTTTCAGGAATAAAACGTGTAGACATTTCTCTAGAAATTAAATACAGTCTAATACCTCTGATGCTTCCCAGTTGTAATTTTAGCATTGCATTTCCGTTGTGCTATTTTCACCGCATTGATTTATGTGGTAATCAAATAGACAGACAATAATTCTGGTCTTATAAATATAATAAGCAGCGTTGGGGCGAGCTGAGAGGGACTGAAGGAAACAGAAAGAGTGGAGAAGTCCTGTTGAAACCGCATGTTTCATTCGCAACTTAACGGAATAATATATATATTAGTTGTAGAGCCGGAGTGTCGAAAAGAATACTCTTTGATATAACTTTCTGTTACCTACTTAACGTCTGAGTGGGAATTTTCACTATCCTGAAGGTGGTAATATAGCCTCAATCACAACATGTGCCATAGATGAGCATTCATTTCACCTTGAAACGGTGGCCCCCATTCCATGTCTTGTTGTTAAAACTTCATAACATCCATCAAGTGGTCACCAATCAGCAGGAGATTGATATTAAGACTGTGCTTTTTGTAGGAATTTGGATTAATCTTCATATGGTTGTATGTCCAACCAGCTGGTCTCGTAACCTGAAGCTCCCGATTCCAATCCCTGGTGGAGTTGGGCGTGTGCACTGATGAAGAATCCCAAACTGGGACGAAACAGTCTCGAATGCTTCCTGGTTTTCAGTGATGTTTGACTGACGAAATCTACATAGAAATTAATCCGGATCCCTAGAAAACCCGTAATCTAAATTTAAACTGATATAAACAATGAGCACAGAACTGAAGTCAGTTAACAACAGCCAGAACCTACACAGTAAAAAAACATACATATACAAGTGAAATTAGTCATATGCACTAATAAGAAAATTCCATTTATGTATCTTATCCAACTAAAAGTTTCAAAAAGAACTAATGAAGGCAGTAATAAAGTGCTTTAACATTTAAACCATCTAGTTAAGCCAAAGTATGCATGAAAAGTAACTGATAAATTATAAGGCTAAACATTGATTTGAACACAACCGTTGAAGAATCGACGGGCTCAGAGATATAGTAAATAGTTCAGTCGAAAAATCATACAGTCGAACAAAACGAAAAGATAAATGATTTACTGGAGCCAAGGAAGACTGAAACCTGATTTGACAAAGGGAATAGTTGTTCTTAGTAAAGAAAGGTTAAGAACAAAATTCATCTGCACTCCGTACAAGATCATCTGCAGACTACTTTAATTTGAAAATTATTTAAAAATCGGTGACAAATCACTGGTGAGAACACTTAAAATTTTAAGGACATATGGTTTGTTACTGATATCAGCTGCATTTAGTATCTCCCACATACTTGGTTAAATGCGTAGAATATTTAAAAGGCTTGTAAAGATAAATAACACTCCACTGGTATAACAAACAGACGTATATAATTGGAAAAATTACTTCAATACGCTTAGGACTGACCTAAACAACAAGTAGTCTGCATTAAGTGCTAACATGCGAGATGAGAGTAACTATAATACGAATATTTAAGTAATTCCATTTGTTTTTTTTAAGTATTTTTTTTGTAGGAATTGTGTTTGATTGGTTGGAGAGTTTCATCATGAGCTGATATCAGTTCGAGAATCATTGTAGAACCTGGGAGTGCTGGACAGCTGTTTCGTCCTACTTTGGGACTCATCACAGTACGCAGCCATTTGTTTTCGATCGTACGTGTACTAGTTGCATATATTTAGATCACAATCACAGTCTTTCGAAAAAATCATCACAAAAAGTGTATTCAAGCAATTGGTGATGTAGAAAGTGAAATAAAGATTATTTAATAAAGTGAATTCATTATAGCTTATGACAAGGATAAATGTTATAAAGGAAGATTTAACGATACCTGCAAATATATATTTGTGACAAAATAAGTTCCAAAATATTACGCTTCAGATATAACACTGAGAGTCATATTTATCTGTTTATTTATAATAAACATACACAGTGATTAGATTACTTTTAAACGGTCTATTTGTTATTACGACTGGACACTTCACGAGCATGCATTGAAAAGAAAAATTCATTACATAATGTAGCTTTGATAAGAGGTAGTTGTTGGAATAAATTTTTATAAATAACTGTTCCTATTTTAGACACTTGTTACCAGATCACTTAAGCTAAACAGTTTTTGAGCTACAGAAGTAAACCCGTATGTAACTAGATAGGAGTTATCCCGAACAAACAAACAAAATAATCAAAGCAAAGTGTTAAATTTGCTTAGAAGTGATTTCTCCTATGACTTCTGAATAAAAACCTGGTTTACATATAGCATTTTGCTAATAAGAAACTTACAACATAAAATAATTTACATTTGAAATAAGTCATCAAACAATAGGTCAAAGATAGGCTTATTAAGAAGATTATACATTAATGCAAACTGATGTTTGAATTCAATGATATATCGGTTTCACACTCTCTGTCATTTTGGAATTTATCCTTCACAAACATGAATTTTTACCAGTGAGCATACTAGTCAACCACGTTGTACTTACATCAATAGCCTTGACCGTGTTAGGCAGAAACGTTTGTAGGAAATCCACTAGGCAGTTGAAATTATAGTAAACTTAACGTCAAAATGAGTTATTTGGAACAAATATATACATATATGTCTTACTAGTTGTCTAAAGGATAACAAATATTTGACGAATTCGAGTTAATTCATCTTTATTTTTTGATCGGCAGGAAGTCTTGGACCTAGGTTTCATGTATGTTGGTGCTCATCAGCAGGTAGTATCTCCATTCTTGAAGGAACTTATGTCACTTTCGAGGTTAGAACCTGGACCACCCAGTGCTGCAGTCAAAGAAGTTGCCATCGAGCTATTTGGCCTCGCAGTTCACCTCTCATAGGACTGTAATAGTTATTTTGTTTGAATCAAACGAAGGATTAGACGCATGACATTAGTTAAGCCTGGTATTAAGTGCAACTCAACTCAGTGATACGAAGAAGCGTGCTACGTTCTAGTGAGTATCACAATGAATATCCTACATCAAAGTAAATATACAATTTTTTAACGTCTTTGTTAAACGATCTACACATCTAATATGTGATAGTTTCTTCTTGTTGAGTGGATTTCAAAGTTATGTGAAACTAATAGTTATTTCGGAAAAGCGACCAATACATTCCAATGTTAAATTGATCTTCTGTCGTTTCTCTAATATCCCTAACCATAAAGAGCAAAAATAAATGTAAGAATAGTATGACTCTTACTACACACAGCTAGTATTTTAACTGAAATATTATATTAAGTGATCAAACTGTCTACAGATCTTACTGATCTACTTTAATTCCCACCTCATTACCACAACTAATAGGCTCGCACCAGTAATTCAACTATTAATTTAAGACTGAAACTCTTCAAAGTCTAAGTTTCTCATTGTTGTTAGCTTCACGTAAAACCAGTGGTCATTCATGAGTTCATTTTGATTGGTTGCTCAGGATCATCACATTGATCTAGTGGTTGTAGTTGCAGCGATGAGACAACAAATTCGTTACTCTATTTCAACCCATGCCGTAGATACTAACCATAGTATTGATACTAATGTAACGTTCAGACTTACTTATCGCATTCACACTAGTATTAATTCTGCTTTATGAAATTATCTTTGACATACATCTGAAGCCGTCAATTCAACCTGTAGAAGCACAAATTTTCTTTACAACCGCCATCTTCCTATAAGTGTGAAACCTACACGTTCCCCCTCTCTCTACCTGATTTAAAATTTATTATTATTTCAGCTTACTGATCTGCCTTGTTAGCCTATAATTATTGTCACACAATCGATTTTCATGGCCTTTATTTTTCAACATATAAATTATGCACTACATAAGCCTCCGCCTCAATTCTCATGGAAATCTGTATCCTTTAAATGTTATTCCTTTGAAATGTTGATGCTGACTAATTATTGTTAACAAACTAGTCATCACTTGACTGGTTAATTACGTGTTGCACTAAAAGTACGGCATACATTAGACTAGAGCCATTGGTGGTCTTATTGTAAAGTAAATACTTCATCGCTCAATTTGCCTTACAAAATATACCACATTCATACTACTGTAGTTCACCTAATGAACTAGTACTATTAAGGTGAAGGAGTTAGATCAACAACAAAACCTGCCTTTTGCTTAATACGAATTAATAAATGATAAAATTAAAAACGCATATAATTAGCTTATCTATGTATAATAGTAGCTATATCAAGAACACAAGACACAAAATAAAAACACAAACCACTTTATTTACCTCTCAGATTACATTCAGCTTCATGTGATACTGTAAGAAAAATAGTTATAGTAGTTTATTCTGTGCAAGCGTCATAAAAGACAGAAATATTGGGAATTTTGATGTAAGCAGAGCTGATCATCAAATCTGTTTGGTCTGTAAAATCAGAAGTCACAAGTACTTCCATCAAAAACACAAGTTTAAACGGTTCACTGAGGGTAGGATTGTGTAAGTCCGAAATAGGTATATTTGGAAACAAGTAGAAACTCTAGAAGGTATCTGTTATGTGTCTGCGACCGCCAAAGTTGACACCAGAGGCGGTAGCGCCGCCAGTGTATCCTGCTTGCAATCCAATCACAGTTTCTCCCGAGCGAAGCTGTTCTTCTGTAAAAGCACGCTTGTTTTCTTTATGCTTGTGAACCCAAAAGTCAGATGGACCTCTGAAACCGGGTTTAGCTTGTGCTTCAATCCCAAGTTGGCTAAGACAGACGACAACTTGAGGAAGATTTGTTTTTTCATACAACTGATCAGTCTGGAAACGAGATGCGGAATTGACGCCAAGATCAGCGGCAAACTGTAAAAATACACCAATACGTTCACGCTGTCGAGGGGTTTCGAAAATAGTCTTCTCTGCGACTTGCCAAGTTCTACTGCTGTTCACTTTCGACGCAAAATTGGGATCCAGACATGCCATCAAATAACCCAAAGTAAGGCCATTGTACAAATATTCAAAATACTCATCCATAGTCACATCATCAATGTTCTTTGGTATTTTTTCAACGGCCTCAGACATTGGACCAGGAGGTTTGACGTCTGGTGGAGTCAACAACCTAATCCATCGAAGGGTTTTGGCTGCCTCCTTCCCATCAAACTTCTCCGCAAGCTTTTGTTGTACGTCTAGAGCAAAGCCCGACTTTGCAGCTCGATAGTCACACGTCATGTTGATTAAATGCAAAGTCACTAATTAGTATATTTGGTTCAGACATTGTTTATTTGTATAACTGTTTCGCCAATCATCCTCAAGGTCATAATACCACCCCCTTGATCCACCCACACGACTCACTTACTACATACACTAATAAATCAAGGTTAGTGGTTTAGTAAGCCAATGGTAAAGCTAAAAATTGATAATGAATTTCAGGTCTGACTTATTTCTCTCATTACCAGTCTGGATATTGACATGAATAGTTGAAACTATCTGACTCTTTCAATTTCCTATCCGAGTAAACTGGATGTATGCAGTGGTTACAATCAATGGCGTCAAATTCAAGATATCTATTTTTTTCTACGTGTTTCTAAACAGACGTACATGCTTTAACGAGATTCAATATAATTTTTCCTTGGAATGATTTTCATCAGAAATGTTTATGCAGTTATTGGTTGACAAAAGATGGCAGTCATTAGTACTTCTTCAAACCTCTTTTCCAGAATGTTAATTTGCATACAGAATAATAATTATTTTACGCATCTCATTTTACCATATTTACGCGTACATTCTTTTTAAGCCTGTCGGATACACACTGATTTTACTCGTAACCGGACTTTTATTTTTATTCCATGACGTCTCGTACTAAAATTTTGTACAACTAAGTAAATTCATCACCTAAACTAGATATGCGTTGCGCATCCATTCTTACTTGAGACTAGGCTACTTTTACAATGTAGCATATTTTGTCATTTTCTCTCACTATCAGATAGAGATATCAGTAAAAAGTTTGAGCATTGTGGAACAGATCAAATAAAGTATAATTAGATTTCAATGGTTTACACACAATGATAATTTTTGTTCTTGGTAATATTTCCTGCAAAATTACTGCCTGTGTTCACATCACTGTTGGAATTGTGTTTTTTTTTAATTCACACATTCATGATTTGTACTTATATATATGGTCCATTTTTTGTTCATTCAGTTTTGTGTATTCAGAATTATATTCCTGGTTGTTGACAGTTGTACTGAGTCACCCTTGTTACATGTATCCGGTGTGACCTTAATGAATATAGATTTTGTTATAAGTCTGTCTTTCCATTTGTTCATATTAGTTATTAGAATACAAACATAGTTCCAATCGATATTATGGTTTTTGTCCCATTAATATATGTGTAAAACTTGGACACTGTGGTAGTAAGTAATTCCATATTAGTTTGCTTATTAGATGTATCACACAATGAAACAGTATTATTTACTGGATAACGTTTCAAACAAAATTTATTGTTCATAATCATATCAATTGTAACCACACGACTTTAAAACTTGAGTTTTATAGTTTTCTTTGTCTTCTCCTATTTGTCGTAAGGGTAATATAATTTTCCAGATATATTAATATTATTATTAATATTATATTATATATTAGTATTATTATCACTATTATTATACATCTAATAAGCAAACTAATATGGAGTTTTTGTCCCGTGCATGTACAGTTATAGATTAATTTTTTCTAAATTCTTGTAAGCTTGTGTTCCTGTTGGTTGACCTTTAGAGTTAGGCGTTTATGTTCATTCACTCTTATTTTGAGTGATCTGGACGTTTGACTCACATATTTAGTTGGACAGTCAGCACAAGATATCTCTTTGTAAATCAGATTGTTTTTATCCATCATTTTTATGGGATCTTTCAGTTGGTTTATTTTATTTTATGATTAGATACGTCGGTTTAAACGTAGTGCGAATCCCAATAATTTTGAGGTTTCGTCGAATTGCCTCTGATGTACCATTTTTGTATGGTATTGTGATTGATTTCTTGCCTTCCTCCTTCTTGTCATTCTCCGCTTTTATCCTCTTTTTTATATTATCTCTGATAAATTCCTCTTGGCAGTTGTTGTCGAGTAACATTTTGAATAAGACGTTGATTTCGTTTCGCTGGTCACCTGGTCTTGTTGTAAGTGTACGTATTGCATCTTCAAGACCTTGTATTAATCTTCGTTTTACTGTGAGTGGATGAGCTGAGTGACAATCAAGGGATCTTCCAGAATGTGTGGTTTTTCTATATAGTGTCACTTTTATGCTACCGTCTGTTACTTTTTGTATTTTGCAGTCTAACATAGGCAGTTCCCCAATTTCCTTCTCTGTTTACATAGTTAATTTTATTGAGTCGACATGGCTGTCTATGTGAGAGAAGAATTTGTCAACATCGTTTCTTTCTTCATTATTACTAACGTGTTGTCTGTATATTCCCACTAAAATTTTATTGATGACCTGAATGGTTCAAGTTCATTCTCTTCCCAAAAGTCCATGAATATATCAGCTATCATTGATGAGATCGGCGATCCCACAGCTACTCCTTCATTTTGTTGGTATATTTTTCCTTCAAATGTAAAATATGTTGTTGTCAGACAGAATTCCACCACTTTTATTATCTCTTCTACGGATAACTGTGTTCTATCTTTTAGGTCATTATTATCTTTTAGTCTCGTTTCAGTGCATTCATGGCCATTTGAATGGGTATCTTTGTATACAGACTGTTTATTTCAAAGCTGACTAGTATTTCCTCTTCCTCTATTTTAGTGGCTTTTAATCGTCTCACCAATTCAAATGAATCTACTATTCTAGCTTTTGAGTTGTCCCTTGTCCCTCTTAACATTGTTCAGAGAAATCTTGATAGCATATACGTTGGTGTGTTTCCAAAGTCTACAATCGGTCTTACTGGATATCCTTCTTTATGCAATTTTATCTTGCCAGACATCCTAGGTATATTACATGATTTTGGCATAATTTCAAACCATTTTGACTTAACAATTAATTATTTCATCTGTCTAACTGCCTTTATTGTTTCTTTCACTGTTTTGTATGTGATTGTTTCTGCTGATTTTGTCATTAGAGTATAGGATCCAGATTTTGAATGTTCATTCATCTCTTCACTATATGTTGTTTTGTTAAGTAGTACTGTTGTGTTTCCTTTGTCTGCTTGAGTAATGACAATGGATTTGTCTGCTTTTATGTCTTGAAGTGCTTTTAGTTCCACCTTCGTTACATTTAGTTTTTTTCTTTTTTAAGGTTAATGCATATTGTGCCCGTACCAGTTCTACTTTATGCACAATGTCAAGTTAAATAAATTCATTTCGCTCCAGAATGTTTGCTGTTCTTGCTCGGTAAGGATTAATGATGAGAACTAATTATGTATAAATGATTATCAATGTACAGATGGATGTAATCTTTCATTCCTAATTCTCAGGATATGATTTGATACCAAGATGATAAGCGGTGAACTGTGATCATATAGACGATAAATTCTTTTTCAGTGAGAACACTTATAGAACATTGTTTTTAGTACCTTAAGGAGAAGTGTGAAAATATTTCACTCCTATCATGTATAACACGATGATACAGAATTGATTCGTACCGAATTCTAGTTTAAGGTCAGAAAGAGAATTGATTGAGAATTGATTGAATGTGTTGCTCGTTTTACTTAGATAAGGAGTTGAATCATCCTTAATAAACTGATTGGTCATCGACAGAAACAAAAGTCCGATATCGCCAAATTGTGTTAATTTTGACACCCTTAGGCATATATACATTAAAAGTACCCTGTGTTCCTACTTTGGTTGATCCTCAGACATGCCAAAGAAACTTGATTTATTACTAACTGGAAACTATTTCCATCTGTACATTTGAATACTTATGCTAAGGACTGAAAGCAGGATGAATAAGATATTACAACATATGAGGGCTTTTCGGATTTGATTCCCGTAAAAACTCATTTCATTTTATATTTTTTCATTCTACCGTTGAAATTTTTTATTTCTTTGAGTTGTGGGTGGAATACAGGGCTTCAGAGCTTTGAAATTTTGCTCATCGTATTGTCCTTATGAGATGTGTTTGCTAACCTCATACCTAAGGTTCTCTCTTCTCCAGGCTTACTGCCAGCTAATAATCTAGGCAAAATTTGGGAATGATTTGCCTGGGAATCGAACTCGAACCACATGCGTTGTTGGAAAACATTCTGCCATTCTACCACTCATTGTTAAAAAGAGTTTTTCTATTTTCTGTTCGTAATACACACACTAATATTATATATACATCCTACTACTAAAATATTGCTATTAATAACCGAACTATGTTTATTGCCATAATGTTGGCTAAAGGGGACATAGGAATGGATGGCACAGCTTTCACATCTTTGCTGCTTACATCTAAAGAGGAAGCAGGGATACTACAAAAACGAATAAGTTGGGAAAATTCTATGGAATTCAATTCCTGCCATTGTTCGTCTATTCCCGTACCGACTTTTTATAATCAGGAAGTCTAAATGAAGGGATATATTGAAGTTCTTTATGCTCGAAAGAAATACATTTAAGCAATACCTATCAGTGAATATTAGAAAACAAATGACTGACCGCAAACTTAATATTCAGCTGAACTTAAACGCATTTAGAAAACCGCTGATTCAAAAGTCGTATGTGATAAAGATGGAAAAATCATAAGGTACATATATAGAAGGAAGACCTGGAGGGCTATTTACCTGAAGTTAAAAAGCTGCTGTCCTATAAGGGATTGGTGAGAACACTACTTGATCGTGTAAGGGAGCTTTATCCATAGAAAAAGTTGAGGAGGAATTATCTAGTGTTGAGAAATATCTGTATAATAATGGTTACCCACAGAAGTTCATCGATAAACACGGAAAACGTAGTGTCGACAAGGTGAAGTATAACACAGTACAGAAAAACGCCCATCTTTCCACTGCTTGCTTTCAAAGGTGACGATACTGCTAGTAGAATAAGGTGCATACTGAAAGCTGTGCTGAAAAGGTCATATCCAGCCTCCAAGCTTGTATGTGTTTATCAAACGACCAGTTGTTTAAGACAGTTAAAGGGGGCAAACTCCTACCTCGTCTTAACTCTAAGTGCGCCTACCGTGTACGTGCCAAAGCACGTACATTGGAAGAACAGAGAGAAGAGTTATTGTCCGCATCTGTGAACTTATACCAGAGAACCTGAGACTAGTGAGCCTACAAACATTACACAGTGTGATTGCATACCACCTACTGGACACTGACCATGTCGTGGACAATTTGAAGGCGTTCAAAATAATCAACAGATAAAAGAAACCTAGCCTGCTTTGTCTCGCTGAGGCTATCGCCATCATGCTGCTAAAACCAAATCTATGCGTGCAGAAAGAGACAGTGGTGAAT